ATTATATTTCGGGATAAAAAATACCCCATTGTTATCCTAGGAGACCACAAATACCCTCAAGAGTTAACACCCCAATATTTTAGTGTCATGGCATGCCACATGCGACTAATCCCTCCACCTAAGCGTTGTCAACTAAGATTCACTACAAAAGAACTTGACCTTTAGTGACGATTTTTTGGACTGTTGTGGGTCGCCGCTAAAGGTCTAGTTCTTTTGTAGTAAATCCTAGTTGGCAATGCTTAGGTGGAAAATTAGTTCCATATGGCTTGCCAAGTCAAAAAAACAATATGGAATATTAACTCTTGAGTGTATTTGTGGTCTCTTGGGATAATAACGGAGGCATTTTTTATCTCAAAATGTAACGAAGAATACAAGTGATCTATTTCACTTAGTTCAGGGCCAATTTTGATCCTTTTCCGATGCATTTATGAAGCTTTTAAACAAAATGAAATGTTTCTTCCTCTTCTTTCTTTTTCTGGCGTATGTTTGTTTTTTCTTGGCTTCGTGTGTTGTGTGTTTGTGCAGATTTTTTTTCTTTTTCTATACGTTTTTCTGATTTATGACACTGTATCTGTTGGTGTGTATTTTGTAGTATTAATATAGTAGTGTGTGGGTGTTTTTGATTGTTTTTCCTGGGAATGGGTTGGGGTAGTAGAGGGAAATCGAGGTAGTAGGTGGGTTGGGGATAGTGGAGTAGCTTAGGAAAATGGGGTTAGTGTAGGATATGTAGGGCGGGGTGAGAAGTCATTGCAGGTTAATGCGGGTCTGCCCGCCCCTTTGTCATTCCTATTTTTTTAAAAGGCTTAAAGTGATATATCGTCCCGTAAAGTTATTCGTATAATTCATTTAGACATTTCAATTGAGACTTGTACCTATTGAATACCTAAATTGTTCAAAATATGTACCTATTAGATACAAAATGTTGATATGACAAAAAACATGTATTGCAGTTTCCTGAAGCGCGTGAAAAGACTTAAAATAATGTCTTTTTTATTTTTTTTTACATTTTTTCTTTTTTTATTGACACTTGACGTTATAATTAACTAAAAAATATCTTCTTCCTTATTTACACTTTTTTCAAAAAAGAAACCACTGCCTATCTATCATCTTCTTCATGGTTTAGTTTATAAAATTTCTTTATTTTAGCTCCAACACTTTTTTCTTTTTTTATATACAAAAAATTTATATCTTCCAAATATGAAGATGAATGAAAATTAACTTTAAAGATTCAGATTTAAAAAAAAGTCTTCGTATGATTTATTTCAAATCTCATAAAAATAAGCAACAAGTATGAAGAAGATGAAAAAAGATAAATGATTTTTACATATAAAAATAGTTAGCCGATATTTATTTATCACAATTTTCGAACAAAGATTTTTACTCAAATTCATACATGGTCATTAAGTTTATCAAAAATGATTTAAAAATTTTTGAAAGAAATAATTTTGAAGCTATCAATTTCATTTTGTCATCAATGTAGAGTTGAATAACCGCCTACAAAAGTTTTTTCTTCTTCACTCTTAGTATGAAAAAGAAAATTAATCTTGAAGTTATTTGAAAAGAATAAGATTTTGTAATTTGAGAAAGAATGTGTTTAGGGAAGAAGATGAAGATGAAAGGGGGTTGGAATGGGGTAGGGTAAGGTGGGGTAGAATAGGTTGACATTTTCATTTTTTTTTCTTTTTTAAATAATTAGATATTAAATATGTGCTTTTTTATAATTTTTGGGCCCAATGCCAAATGTTATTTTTTAATTGGTCGTGTTGCCACATCATGCAAGTGTATCACACACACTTCATATTTTTTGTTGATTATAAAAAATATGTAATAGAAATGATTATTATATAAGTAAAAATGCTCAATTGATACTAATATTAATTGAAGTGTCTAAGTGAATTATGAGAATCACTTTAAGGGGCTGCTGATGACTTAATCTTTTTTTAAAAAAGAAAAATAAGTCCATTGGAAGGACACAACATGTTCAACAACTAAATGAAGTCATTTGGTCTATGGAGGAGACATATTTTAGGTTAAATGAAACGGAGGCAAGTGCAAGGTTTTAGAAGGTCTCCCCAACCCCCTCCCCTACACCCCATATCTATCTATCTATGTATCTATCTATATATATATATATATATATATATATATATACCCCATATCTCTCTATATACATATAATTCAAACCAAAAATTTAAAATTAGAAGTGAAAGGATGTTTCTTCTGAATCCTTTTGATGGTAAATTTGTAAGCATTGGAAATTTAATTTGTCACAATATCACACAACCCCCCTCCCCACAACACACACTTTAGGTTATATTTTTAAAATATACTTGGATTATATCATTACATACGCAAGCATCAATCAAGGGAACATGTGCCATCACAGTAAACACTCTCTCTCCCTTTTTTTTCTTCCACAAGTATACAGTAAACACTCTCTCTCCCTTTTTTTTTTCTTCCAGAAGTATTTAATTTCCTTTGTTCTATTATGAGTAAAAGGTCACAAACATATTTAAACTACTCAATTTTTTTAAATTTTTATCCAAAATATTTAGAGTATGAGTACCTATCTAAGTAATCACTCATAAATTTGATAAATACACCTCAAATAATATGTAATAATATGATATTACACTATTCTTAAAGAAAATATAAATTTCAGGTGGAAGGCAGTTCCACTGTAATAAAAATTAGCAAAATATAACTAACACATTTAACAATCTTAGCTGAAAATATAAATCAAAATACATCATTTCACATATGAAAAATCAAGGTCAGACAAGTCTAAGTAAATCTATATACATATTTGGATCAGTCAACATTGCGGTTGGTTTTTCATAATTTAGATATATTTGCGATATTTAACTAAAAAAGACTGTAATAGCAAAAAAAAAAAAAAAAAAGGAAGGGGCATAGATATGTTTTTGAGACTTAAAATTTTTTTTAAGAAAAAAAGGCATAGATATGTTTTTGAGACTTAAAACTTTTTTTCTTAGAAAAAAATCATTATTTGACATTCTATTTATTTTAATTATATGATTTATTTTTAATCCAAATAAAAAATATTTTTTTCTATATTTGATACTAATTTAACTTAATATTAATTTTACTTTAAAAAAAATAATTTATTACAAATTGTATGACTTTTTCACCTAACAATTTTTTTAGACAAAGTAAAACATTCAACTTGTAATGAGTGTGATGATAATTTAAGAACTACAATAATTTGTAGTAGTACTCCTTATATTTTTAATTATTTTTTCTTTTTTACTTATTTTTTTATTTTATTTTAACAAATCAAAAAGAGATAATTTTTTACATATTATATACTCAATTTTTTAAAAAAATAATATAAATTTTAAAAATGTTAAATTTTTAATACGTCTATTTAATAACTTTATAATTATTTCAATAAATATGTAAATTTTAAAATAAATAAATAATTAAAGACCGAATAAGAAAAGTTGAAATTGATATTTGACCAATGTCTATAGCGGCGGCATACACTATTTTGTTATACCCACTTTGAGCCATCACAGGTCCACCTTCCTAACTAAACGTGCCCATTTTATTTTTTTATTTCTTTTATCCTTGGTCGTTTAAATTTGACATATATAAGAAAAAATAAACTATTAATATATATTTGTTGATCAATTTAATTTTAAAATAAATTAATTTATGTTTATTTTATTAAAAATTTAACTTCAAACAGTTACTATCTCTATATGTGATATTTTGGATGTATAGATATATTTTGGATTTCAAGAATCAAATAAGTCTATTTTTTATTGTAAATTTTTTATAAATTTTATAAGCATTTTAATTTATTAGTTATTGTAACTCATAGTATTTTTTACGTAGTTTATAAATATATAAATTTCATTTTTAAAAAATAAAGATTTCATGTATAAATTTTTGGTTAAACTCAAATTGTTTGACTCTTACACATAAAAGATGTCATAAAAATTGAGACAAAGAAAATATTAAATAGTTTGTTTGGATTGAATTTTCACTTTTGACTTATAAGCCAAAAATCGTAAGATAAAATTTCTAACTTATGACGTTTGACTTATATTGATCTTAAAATAAGCGTGTATAACTATTTTTAAACTTTACTCAAACACTTTAAAATTACTTTAAAACTATTTTAACTTAAAACTACTTAAAACAAGTCAACTGAAACAAACACTAGGGGTGTGTTTGGTATGGAGGAAAATGTTTTCCATGGAAAATGTTTTCCGGGAAAACAAGTAGATTTTGGACTTATTTTCTCATATTTGGTTGGTGAGTAGAAAATATTTTTCTAGAAATGATTTTTAGTGTTTGATTTATGAATGAAAAATATTTTTGAGAGACATTTTTTAATTTTACTAGGGTAAAAAATAATTTATGACATTGAAAATATTTTTCAAAATCAAAATTATTATTTTTTTGGATGGTGGTGGAGGGTGGGGTGGGGGCGGGGGAGGGGAAGGGGAGGGGATAGGAGTGAAAAAATAAAAATTTGAAGTTGATAGTATTTTTAAAAAATAAAATTAATTTTTTTTGGGGATTGGGGTTGGTGGGGGCTAGTAGGGGGGCTGGCCGGGAGGGGGAGGAGTAGGAGTTTAAAAATAAAAATTTGAAGTTGAAAATATTTTTAAAAAGTAAAATTAATTTTTTGGGGAGGGGTTGGGGTTGAGGGGGCTGGCGGAGTGGGTAGGGTCAGGGATAAGGTGAAAAAAATAAAATTTTGAAATTGAAAATTTTTATTTAAATTGATGTTTTTCCCAAAAAAAATTAATTTGAAATTGGAGGAGAGTTATGAAAAATGTTTTCCTTAATTTTTGAAGGAAAGTCATTTTCCTTAATTTTGAGGAAAATAAGTTGATTTGAAAAATATTTTTCAAAACTTTTATTCCAATCAAACATGGAAAAATTGGTTAATATTTTCCAGAACCTTCATACCAAACACACTCTAAGTATAAAATGATAAATTTATCTAATTTCTGAAGAGACGTGAAATATAATAAGATGGACAATTATTTTAGAGAGAAGGAGAGAGATAACAAGCTCGGCCAAAAATAAATAGTTATTATACTAACAAAATTCTATTTTTAGGTATAGGAAAAATTCATCTGTATATACCGTAATTTTCCATTATAAAAGGGGTATTTTATCTTTTGAAATTTGAAGAGAGATAGACATTTACAGGCTTCAAATAAATTTCATCAATGGCGTCGTTGGTGAGGAGAAGATTTTATTCGAGTGAAGCATCATTTGTTCAGAGGCTAAGAGATCTGCCAAAGTACCTTCCTGGTACCAAAATCAAAACTCAAGTTTCTCAAGTTAGTAAATTTTACCCTCTATTTCTTCATATTCTCAGTGCTTCGAGCTGTAGATAATTTACTCTTCTAAGATCTGTTATACTCTTTGGTTAAATTTTGTTAATGTTTTTCTAATTTAATGCTGAATTAGCTTTTAATTAATCCAATTTACCTGAATACACCGTTTGAACCCGGTAGCGGAGCCAGAACCCAATAGCGGAGCCACCAGCGATTCATCTGAATCTCGTTCAGAGAAAAATTATATTTAAGTATATATATGTAGTTCTAAGGTTATTTTATGTGATTATATTTTCAAATTTTAAATTTTTTTTATTGAAATTTTTTTTATTCCGCCATTATTAAACCCGGTAACAGTCGGGCACAACCCACATGACCCATTTTTGTTTTTACTTTTTCTCTTTGTATATTCTTTGGTACCCTGGTTCTAAATAGTACCAAGTAATTTATAATTATTCGTTTATTTTTAAATTAATATACCTATAAAGAAGATAAATTAACACAAAATAATCAAGTAATTATTTAAAAGCTTGACTGTTAAGAAAACGCTAAATAAAAAAAGTTTACCTACTTTCTTGAAAAAGGTAAAATCTAAAATAAGGACAACGATGAAACGGAGGGAGTAGAAAAAACAGATCTTAAAAGTGCAAATAGTATATGACGTTTTCTCTTGGAACCTGTGCCATTAAATGACTTATTTTAGATTAAAAATTTGAAGGAGAATTCTTTTACTCTTTAATTTGGTGTCCAATTAAATTATGTCATGAAAATAAACAAATAAGTACTTCCTATGTGTCTAATTATTCATCTAATTTTTCTTTTTTATTTATTTGTCTTCGTTTTGACAAATTAAAAAAATAATAATTTTTTTAATTTATTAATTTTAAAAAAGTTAAAAATTTCTTGAGAAACAGAAATTTTTAATTCGTGCACTTTATAATTTAATAAGGATTCATAGTAAATTTATTATATCAATCATTAATTAGTTACTCGTTTACTTGGTTATTTTGTGTTAATTAAAATTCTATACATACTCTTAAGGGTTAATAACTCTCGAAGATAAAATATGAAAAATAATATTATTATGTATTGATTTTGTGAAATGGTAAAGTATTGAAGAATATTTATTCTTAGTAAGGAGACATATAATGATAAAAAGACCATTTTATTCATTCACTTGTTAAGTGTTCGCTATGTTAATATATATTTTTATTTTCATTTGTCACTTTTCACAAATCAAAAATATATAATCTTTATATTTTATTTTTAATATTAATTATTTGTATTTCTAAGTTACGATTCAAGATATAATTACTAGACATCAAGTGAATAGAGACATTGTAGTAAAATAATTATATTAATTTTTTTAATTAAATTGCTAATCCTAAATATAATTAGTAAAAATAAATAGAGGGAACAATTTGATTGCACACAAAATTTAACAAAGAAATATTTTCAAACTTGTTAATTTTTAATGGAAAAAGGATCAAATATGGCTCTAAACTATTCGAAAAGATTTAGAGATACCTTTTGTTTAAAATTTGATTCACTCGTGCCCTCGCCGTCCAAGTTTTGGTCCAAATATGCCCTTATGGGCGTTAGTTGTCATGTTGGACATGTCCAACTCATTTTTCATTTCTTTAAATGACATATGGAATTACCATATTATTTTGACCTTACCACATAACATTTATATGAAAATGAAAAGATATTCGGACTCATAAACACCTAATCCGACCCATAAATCAACTCCTTTTAAATTTACTATCCGACCCATTTTTAATAGTTTTGTTAAATTTTTATTATTGCGGTAAATCTCGAAAATGAGTAATTGATTAATAAAAAATAGGAAAAAAATGAAAAAATATAAAATTAACGCCAAAAATTCACAAATAAATATAGTAACCTTAAATCTAACATTTCAATATTTTTTAAATTTTTTATTTTTTGATAAATCTCAAAAATGAGTAATTGATTAATAAAAAATATAAAAAGTATGAAAAAAATATAAATTAACGTCAAAAGTTCACAAATAAATATAATAACATTTCAATTTACAATTTTTTAAAATTTTTATATTTTTCGGCGTATCCCGAAAATGAGTAATTTTTTAATAAAAAGGGAAAAATATGAAAATAAAATAAAAAATATACGTCAAAATTCACAAATAAATATACTAAACTTATATTCAATAATTTCAATAATTTTTTTATTTTATATTTTCTTCATATTTTTCTATTTTTTATTTATGATTTTTTTGCGTAATTTTTATATTTTTTCATATTTTTTTTGTTGATAAACTCATTTTCGAGATTTGTCGAAAAAATAAAAAATAAAAAATGTTGAAATTATTGAATTTAAGGTTACTGTATTTAGTTTTTAATTTTGGGCGTTAATTTTATATTTTTTTCATACATTTTATTAATCAATTACTCATTTTGGGATTTAGTAAAAAAATATAAAAAAAGTGTTTAAATTGAATTTAAGGTTACTATAATTATTTATGAATTTTTGGCGTTAATTTTATACATTTTTCATATTTTTCTATTTTTTTTATTAATCAATTACTCATTTTTGTAATTTATCGAAAAAATTAAAATTCAACAAAATTATTGAAAGTTGGTCGGATAATTTATTTAAAAGGGTTGATTTATGGATCAGATTTGGTGTTTATGAGTCCGAAATATCTTTTCTTTTTCATATAAATGTTATGTGGTAAGGCCAAAATGACAAGACAATTTCATGTGATATTTAAAGAAATGAAAAATGAGTTGGATATGTCAAACATGACAACTAACGCCCATAAAGGCATATTTGGATCAAAAGTTGGATGGCGAGGGCATGAGTGAACCAAACTTAACGGAGGGTATGTCTAGATCTTTTCTAATAGTTTAGGGGCATATTTGACTCTTTTTTCATTTAAATAAAACAATATCAATTAAATAAGTATTTTAAAAAAATTATGTGTTATTAAATATAAATATACCACTATTAGTGGCAGAATTTGAATAGATGCCAAGGTTAAGAATAAGAAAATGAAATTAATTATATTTTCAAATAAATTTAAAAGAATATTTAATAGTAATTTGTATGAGAAGGTAAAATACAAATTCTTTTATGAATGGTGCTAAAAGTCAAAGAATCATAATGTCTCATCAGTGACGGAAGCCTGCATCGGGCTTTGGGCCAATTTTCTGTTCAATTAATATATTTTATTTTTTAATATACTTTTAAAAATAACTTTTTAAATTAGATAGATAATAAAAAAAAAATATTTTTAAATTTTATATACCATCAAAGTGTATCACATGTAATAAAAATAGTGTAGTTACAAATAAAATGTATATGTATTATACTATATACTAGCAATATTAATGCTTAACTAATTATTTTTAGACGTCACATTGACTACTGCATTTTAATTTGGAAAAATTATGCGGATAAACAAATTTATACTATTTAATTATTCATCGTAGTCATAGTTTGCTATAATCGCCACTCGCGACTAACATTATACATTAATTACGTGGACTGACTTCGAGTTTGTATAATTAGTTATGTTTGTATATGTATAATTTGCCAGGATATACAAATAAATACGTATAATATACAATTTTTTAGCCTACATATATACAATTCACCTCACTCTCACTCTCTTCCCTCTCTCGCTCGCCTTTCTCCTCCCTCTCCCAACCTCGCTTGCCATTTATACAAATGTATATGGATAATATATAGTTATATACAATTATATACATATACAATTCATCTCTCCCACTCTCTGCCCTCTCTCGCTTGCCTCTATCGATCTCGCTCGCCTCTATCCTCTTTCTCCCAGTCTCGTTCGCCTCTTTCCTCCCTCTCCCAACCTCTCTTGCCATATATACAATTACATATGTATAATATACAATTATCTAACCAATATACATATACAATTCAGCTTTCTCTTACTCTTTTTCCCCTCTCTCTCGCCTCTCTCCTCTCTCTCCCAGTCTCGCTCGCCTCTCTCCTCTCTCTCCCAGTCTTGCTTGTCTCTCTCCTCTCTCTCTCTCAGTCTCGCTCGCTTCTCTCGTCCAAATAACATGTAGCTATAAATTATAATATCAAACTATAGCTATAAAAAGTAACTAATTATTTTTAAGTGGCTATATGTGGTTTCCCTAATTAGTTGAAAACCTTTTTTAGGTGATTAATCAAAAAGGAAATTCTTTGTACTTCTTAAAAAAAAAATATACTAATTTTATACACATATATATATACACTTTAATTATATTAATATATCAAAATTATACATTTTACTAACTATTTTTTTTATAGATGGCTATACAATGTAATATTTTCCTATCTTAGATTTTTGACAAGTATTATAGTTAAGAAAAATTTTAACTTCAATTTTTTTACAACATCAACTAAATTAACTCCAAAATTTAGTTAATGCTATCACGTGCAAATAACTTTGATTTGTACACCATATTAATGCATTATTGTTTTTATAAATGAAGCTATTTTCATCACGCTTTATATCTTTGGAAAAATATATTGGTCCAAGAACCTTAATCATCATTAACAAATAGAGTATCATTACCACTAATTTAATGTTCTATTTTGCTCAAAGTTAAGTGGAAAATGAGAACATTCATTTATTTATTGTGATGGATTGATTACTTATTTTAAAAAAAGTTAGATCCGTACACTAAGCTCTTGCTATGCACTGAGTTTAGAAAATGATCGAACCACAAAAGTCTATTATATAAAGTCTTATCTTTCATTTCTACAAGTGACTATTTTTACGAATCAAATATGTGACCTTCTAATTACATTAGAACAACTTTACCGCTTAAGTTATATGCACAACATTGTAAAAATACACTTCAACATAAGTTGAAATTTTATTATATAACCAATTTTTGATTATGATGAAGATCTATATATAATTACATTTTATATGACCTGATTATGCAAATTATATGATTGATTGTAATATTTCCACAACTCAGCTCATTGGGAAAACACCATTGGTGTATCTAAACAAAGTGAGTGAAGGATGTGGTGCTTATATTGCTGTTAAACAAGAAATGATGCAACCTACTTCTAGTATCAAAGATAGGTAAATTATTTGGTTTTTTACTTTCTTTCATTTTTACTTCTTGTGACCTTTTTCTAAATATTAAGTGGACGTTTGGACATGTTTCATTTTGAAATTTGAAAAAATGCTTTTCCTTTTCCACCAGACCAGCATTTGCTATGATCAATGATGCAGAAAAGAAAGGATTAATCACCCCTGGAAAAGTAAGTAAATATGCCTCTTTCCTGTACAAAAACCTTAAAAGACAGATAATATGAACGAGATAACGGTTGCATAAGTTTTGTGTCTTATATATTTTATGGATGATATGCAGACAACACTAATCGAGCCAACATCAGGGAATATGGGAATAAGTATGGCATTTATGGCTGCCATGAAAGGCTACAAAATGATTTTGACAATGCCATCGTATACAAGCTTGGAGAGGAGGGTAACCATGAGAGCATTTGGAGCTGATTTAGTGATCACTGATCCAACTAAAGGAATGGGAGGAACTATTAAGAAAGCTTACGATCTTTTGGAATCTACACCTAATGCTTATATGCTTCAACAATTCTCCAATCCTGCCAATACTCAAGTAAGTGATTTACCATCTTCATTTTGCTCCCTCCCCCACCCCCTCATCTATTACTAGACTTACCATTATCGGAAAATGTCCAAGTTTTGTATTTTATGATATGTTATTCTTCTATGATTATTTCATATTTTTCAGTGTAGGTTAGAGTCCCACAGTGGTTAGGGTATTGACCGGTCCTCATAAGCTAGTTTTTGGGGTTTAGTTAGATTCAAGTGTCATGTTTTTCATGGTATTAGAGTAAGGTCCATTTCCAGTGTGAGCTCACGATCTACACTCTAGTTGGGCCTAAGCGTCGTGGTGGTGGTGGTGGTGTTGGTGGGAGTGAGGATGTTAGAGTCCGACATTGGTTGGAGAATGAACTGATGGTCTGCTTATATGGACTTGGACGATCCTACTCTCATAAAGTAGATTTCGGAGTTAAGGCAAGTGTCATATCTTTGTCATTAGCAAATTATCTCGTAGTTGTCCTTGACATCGAAGGAGCTCCAAAGTGGATCTCACTATTTTAGAGATCAGGCTCAAATGCATGCCCTCTACTCTTACACTTTGGTCAGGGTCTACGGTAAGGTAAGCTCCTTCTGAGTCCAGGGCAAGTAAGACATGATTAATGCGATGATGGAGATAGGATTAATTTTCACCAAGGGGATTCAAGAATTTAAATAAGTAAACACATGAGGAAGCCAAAGGGATTCAACACTAGTATATATTATACATCAAAAAAAAGATTTGACTTACCTATGTAGAGTAATTTTTCAATGATTCCCTTCGACAAGGGTTGGTCCCACTATGAATGACCTTAAAGTACAACAAAAATTAGAATAAATATATTTCATAATTAAAGTGGAGGGGCATTTTAAATTCTTTTCCGTTATATCAAAAACAAAAATTCAACATTGACATTGAACACAGGTTCATTTTGAGACTACTGGCCCTGAAATCTGGGAAGATACTCAAGGTAATGTTGACATCTTTGTCATGGGAATAGGAAGTGGAGGCACAGTCTCTGGTGTTGGACAATATCTGAAATCGAAAAATCCTAATGTCAAGGTATTTTCCTGCCAATCAATTCATTATGTGATTGCAAGCTTAACGTGTAAACAAAATAACATCATCGCTCTTGCATATTTTTTCCTGTCCTGCTAGATATATGGAATCGAGCCAGCTGAAAGCAATGTATTGAATGGTGGAAAACCAGGTAATTAACTTCACTTCCTATCATAACTATAGAACTAAAAATATTGTTGCAAATAACATGCCTCTTTCTTTTTTTCCATTTGTTGTGGCATATGAGTAAATTTGTTCTACATAGATTTCTGAACATCGATACTGTATACAGGTCCTCATGAAATAACTGGCAATGGGGTTGGATTCAAGCCGGATATCCTTGACATGGATGTAATGGAAGAAGTTCTGATGGTATGCTGAGTTCTAAACTTCATTTCTCTTGCAGAACACACGAAAATATTGACCTCCGGATGTTGGTCTTTAAATTTCACAATTATAATATGCATTATCCTGGAACAGAACCCGTTTTTAATTACCTTGTTAGGATAAATTTCAACCACTTAACTATTAGTGTTTGTTTCTTGCATAGCACAAGAACTATGTAATTGCAGAGTTTTGTTTAATTAGAACTACAACCAGAAGCGCACGGAGTGTATTATCTCTATGTTCAACTGAATCCAATATTTTTGATGCAGAACATTGACTATAATTAGTCATTTTTGGCAATTTATACATGAATTATGCTTATACTGTTTGCAGGTTTCAAGTGAAGAATCGGTAAACATGGCTAGGGAGTTGGCATTGAAGGAAGGCCTTATGGTAAAATTTCGAACAGATGGTTTTTCATATCTATCACTCTCTCATATCATTGATCTATTTTCCATTACTAAGTGGCATTATGTGAATGGTACAAAAAGATAAGCTTATATATATTCGACCCCAACTTTTTTTTAATCATACAACAAACATTTTGTTGTATAGGTTGGTATATCATCAGGAGCAAATACTGTAGCCGCACTTAGACTCGCCAACAGACCAGAAAATAAAGGAAAACTCATAGTGGTATGAATATTTATTAGTTGACTCTCAATTTTGTTATGTTAATTAGTTGTGTTGAATTTTTTGGTTTTGGAATTTCAGACAATTCATCCAAGTTTTGGAGAGAGGTACTTGTCATCTGTTCTGTATGAAGATCTCAGGAAAGAGGCACAAAACATGCAACCTGTATCAGTTGATTAGTGTTCAATTATTATAGTGATAGTACTAGTGAAACTAGTACAAGAAAAAAAAATGTATGTGCTACATTTTCTGAAATAATGTTTATGCTTTAAATAATAATGGAAAGTAATCTTTTCTGAACGGTTAAGAAGTTCCACATCGGTAGAGGGATAGGAAATTGGTCTACTATATGGACTTGGACAAATCTCCTCCCATGAGCTAACTTTTGAGGTTGATTTATCATACCATAAAATGCTTTGCTGAACTCGAGCCACATGTTATGTTTTATTGAGCTAGAAAAACATAAAGCTTGTGAGTTATGTTATATGGATGTAGTGTGAGGGTGAGGAAGCATTGTTCAAGCTCTACTTAAAGTAGGCTCAAATCCGATAGTGAGGTTCAAAAAATGTTGAACACTCCAGACACTATCACAATATATCTATATGCTAACATGGTACCATGAAGAATTACTTCGGAATGAAACACTCCTCCGTTCTCCATGATACCATTACCATATATCTATATACTGACATGATATCATAAAGAACTGTTTCAATCCTTCAACGATACCAATCTAGTATGCCATTTACTTAGTGGTGGGCCTAGAATTTTGTTCAAATGATTAGTAAAGACGAGTAAAAACCATATTCAAATGATTCATTAGTAATTTATTATTTAAAGAACCTTACATGACAAAAACAAAACAAGAAAAGTGTTTCATATTGTACAACCAACAAGAGAATCTCTTATAGAACACAACTCGCTAACAACCTCCTTCATGTTTTTTCTTTTACTTGAATCATACATTGAACAATCAATACCAACTCCAAGTAAGGAAATTAAACCCTCTCATCATTTTTTGCCTTCTCATTTATCTTGGAATTTGAGACCTCTCTCTGCTTATTTCTTCCTCTTCAAAATTAAGAACTGGATCTACTATCTCAATTGCTCCATCAGGTCAGCCATGAAATGTCCCTCCAAATGCGTTGTTTTGCAGAGACAGCCAGGTCAGGCTATGCAACTTATCAAACATAGGAACACATCCTCCTAAGTTATTTTTTCCAACTAGAAGATACGCGAGTCCTGAGAGGTTGAAAAGTGAATAAGGAAGCGATCCACTGAAATGATTCTCACTAATGCTGAGACAGACACATCAGGTTAGGAGGATTGATCCCTAAATCCCGAGGGAGAGTACCTTCGAATTGGTTATTTGACACATCAATGACTTTCAAGGAGGAAAGGTTGAATAGTGAGCTCGGAATTCTATCTGATAACTTATTGAAGTCTGCATCAAATATTTCCAAGTTTTTCAGTTTCCCTAACTCATCAGGGATTTTACCCTCGAGATCATTATTCAAAAGGTACATTTCCAAGAGACCTGAAAAGTTACCATAAGATCTCGGGATTCCACCAATGAGCTTGTTGTAACTGAAATCAAAATATTTGTGTTTGGGAAGAAATCCAAGCTCCTTGGGAAGCACACCCACAAGATTGTTCTTGAATGCCCATAATTCAACGGGGTTACTACAAAACTATAGATTGGCAGGAATTTCACCATGTAATTAATCGTTTTGCAAACATAGATGGCGTAATCTTGTCAAACGACCTAGTTCTGGAGGTATATTGCCAGAAATGGTATTGATTTCAATGACTAGTCGTACAAGGATGCTCAAATTTCCAACAAATGGTGATAACACACCACTCAACTGTTGGGTTATGGACCTTTTTCCCTTCCTATGTGGATAAATAAAAGTCCAATTTGGACCAATCCATTTTTCCCATAAGCCCATTCTTATGAGGCAAATATAATCCTATTTAGGTCTTATTTTCAGATATAAAAAGAGTTTTTCAGCAGCCAAAAAGAAAAAAAAAGAGCAGTTTTTCGCAGTAAAAAATTCAGCCCTAACAACCAACTTCAAATTGTGATTCCCGCTTCGTTTCTTGTCCGATTGAGCTGATTTTGGACAGCATATTATCTTCATCTCAATCTTTGATTAGGAACTGAAAGAGTTGGATTTGGTGGCCTGCAGCTTCAGTTTTGCTGTCGTGAACAGTAGCTGCGAAATTGGTGATTTTGCTCCTTTAATTCTCTAGATTTGGTGAAATCTTATTTTGTTGTTGCTCGTTGTTTGACACTTGTTTTTGTGGCCAATTTTGGAGAACAATATTGTAACTCTTGGTGATTATAGTGGAGCTTTTGGTCCCGTGGTTTTTTACTCTTCACATCAAAGGGTTTTCCACGTAAATCTTGGTGTCTTGTGTGATTGATTTATTATTGCTTTGTTATATTTGTTTGGTTGAATTACTTGCTGCCTTACTATCATATTGCTTGTGGTTGTTTGTCTTCTCTTGGTTCAAATCGAGAAGGGAAAGTATAGACTTGGGTATTCTTCCGCTGTTATCTTGTCAGGCATTCTTTGTTAGTGCCTTGTCTTTCCCAACATCAGCTTCAGGTCAAGAAGGTTTACTTCAGTGATTCGTTGACTTCGTTCCACATACTACACCACGCCATTGATATAAAGGAACAGACACATTGCATGTAATCAAAGAATCAAAGGGATCAAGCATTTCATTCTTGATAGCAAAGAGTGCTTCAATATCTGTCATATTATCTGATTTTGAGGAGGGACTAAGTGTGAAGAGAAATAGGAGAAGAAAGATCTTGTCAAAATAATAGGCCATGACTAAGTACTGCTTTATTTTTTACTGAATACAACTCCTACAATGTGTATATATATATATATATATATATAGGTAAGAGAATAAGTGAACCTCTTCTGCATACTCTAAGATTTGATGGTTATATGGGCTTTATATCGATATCTCAAAGTCAGTAACCGGCAAAAATTCCACATTGGTGGTTAATGAGATGGGCTGACCTAGGCTTGAAGCTAACTTTTGGGGTGTGACCGTGTGAGTTAGACTCAAGACCTAATTTAACATCGTATCAGAGTAGCGCCTATATCACAAGATGTTGGGGACCCAAAAAAAATTAAAATTGCTCATGCACCAGACGCTAAGCACTGAGCATGAATTAGGGTATTAAAAAATGACAAAAGTTTCACATTATTAGTTAATAAATTGGGTGAACTCCTTATAAGGCTTAGACAATCTTTTCCCCTTTGAACTAACTTTTGGGGTGTGAGTTAGGTATAAGACCTTATTTAACAAAAACCCATTGCAATATCTAAGACTTAAAAGACCGAATCTTGTTACTCTTTTGATTTAAAATCAGCAACAGACCGTTGACCTAGTGTTGTATACACCTTAATCAAAATGATTTCGGGTAGTATAGCATCTGCAATAATAGTCAACAATTTTTTGGGTCTTTACACCTTTCTCGTGTCACCTCCTATGGTGAACAAGATTAGTGAAGTAGCCTTTCTTACTGGACAACCGTTGGTTATAGTGAAATTTAACAATAATTTCTTAGATCATCTACAACTCACCTCTATTTTAGGCCTCTTTTGTTTGCAATAATAGAGGTCTGAATCTTAATCATTCAGATTCAGCCTATTAAGTACATTTAATTTTTATGTCTGAATCTGAATGATTCAGATTCACCCCATTAAGTTTATTTATTTTATTTTTAAAAAAAACCTCTCAATGGGTTTGAAGAGGTCTGTACGAATCAGATCTGTAGGAGACTCTTAACAACATTCAGACTCATTTGATAAGTTATCAAATAATAAATCATCGCTTTTCTGCTAACTGAAAACTCTCTTTCTTACTTTTATCAAACAAACACCAATTTGTTTCCAACTGATAAGTTTTCATAAATCCTTTCAATTACTTTCTTTTACTTCTCTATTTCAAAAAGGATGACCTAGTTTGACTTGGAACGAAGTTTAAGAAAAAAAAGAAAGACTTTTTAATCTTGTGTTTCTAAATTAAAGTTATATCAAATGTACCAAAATACTCTTTAATCTTGTAGTCTTAAACATGCCACGTGGAAAGTTAAAGTTTAAGTGTTGCCAAAAAAAGGAAAAGAGTCATTCTTTTTAAAAAGGAAAGGAGTCATTCTTTTTGGAACAAACAAAAAAGGAAATAGGGTCATTCTTATTTTAAACGGCGGGAGTATATTAATAATTTTCTTGTATTGATGTGTGTCAAGAACATAAGTTGCAATAATATTTTTGGTGTATTGTTGTTTATCAAAGTTTTTGAATGATAAAATAGTACTCCAAGTCATGATTATGAAAACTTTTAAAACTTTTTTTTAATCAAAAGTGATATATTTTATTGAAATGAAAATTTTATAATATTTTATTAATATAATGTTCAATTTCACTTTTACACTCAGATATTGAAAACAAATAACATTAATTATTTAGTGTTCAGATTTAGAGACCATATCTAAATATTCAGATGTCTATTCAAATCGAAACACTCATATCTTAATGCAAATCTTAATATTAAGATGGATATTCAGATTCAGACCTCTCAATCTTAATGAAAACAAATGAGGTCTTAGTCTTTATTCTCTATATTTGAAATGTAAAATAGAGAATGAGTTCTTCAACCATTCTCTAATTCACTTTCTATTCTCTGTTTATACATAGGTGAATTGTAGTTCACCAAATATGGAGAACTATTATTCATACTCTTTGTTTCACTTTTGATTATTTTATTATTATTTTATATTAAATGATACTTATAATTAACATATTATAAATCATATAAGACCATTAATTTAATCTCTAATATTCGTATATTTTAGTGTATTTAACATTTTATACTCCCTCTGCCCATTTATATTTGTCATGTTGTACTTTTTGAAAGTCAATTTGACTAATAATTAAAGTTAAATTAGATTACGTTAATTCGATATTTAAAAAAAATTATATATTCAAAAACTATATGAAAAATACTATAAATTACAATTTTTTGCATATTAATATGATGAAAATATACATTGTAAATTGTTCATCAAAGTTCTTGTAGTTTGACTCTAAAAAGGAGACCATGACAATTAATCGTGGATGGAGGGAGTAAGATATATTATTTAATCTATGCTACTTTCATTCCAAATTAATAAGATTTCAATTCTTTTTCAGTTTTTGTCATTTTAAACTTATAATCTAAAAGTATTAATAGCTTTCACTATGAGAATATACAAAATTTGAGTGATAAGATGAAAATTTTAATTTAAAAATACAATCTATAATATAAAAGTAGTTTATATTGGGGGTGGCAATAAGGCATGTTGAGTTAAATTTGAGTTAATCAAAATAAATCAAGATCCAACCCAACCAAATTTGTTTAGGCCAAAATCCTGTTAGGTCAAAACAGATTAGGTAATATATTTGTTAGGGTCATAATCCAACCTACACAATTTTTATTAAGTTCTAATAAATTTATTTGTTATTTATAAGCTTTTATTACCCGATAAAGTTATTTTTCTTTATTCTAATCATATATAACATATAAGTTTAAAAAGAAGTTTTTAATAATATTTTGACTTGATTTTTCAAATATCAATTTGGATTATATATCAATTTAATATTTAATGGGCTAAAATGAATTGAGTTGAGATGGGTTGAATTAATAAATGAGTAGATCAATAACCAACCCATACCTAAATGAGTAGATCAATAACCAACATATACATATATAAATATATATATATGTATGTGCAATAAAAGTAGAAGACTATGTAACCTTCATATACGAAGGATCTATGTATACTCGATATGAATATATATTATGTGTATGTAGAGGTCTATGTAAACCTCGAAGTAGTGATAAGGAAAGTTTTAAATTTTTCCGGATTTTTCAACCTATGAATGTAATGACATGAAACTAAGATGCTAGTCTTAGTCTTTCGAAAGAACGCCGACGCCGGTTATGTCTAGGGGGTAAACCCGGATGTGACAGTTTACACATACAATTGAGGATATATTTTTTCACACGTGTTTAATATTTAGTAGTTAAGAGTTATAATTTTTTGTTTCTTTTCAAGTATGAATTATAGTTGAGAGAGCAACTATTTTGTTTATTGTGAAATCTCAAACTTTTAAGTTAAGATTTAAAACCACCCTATATGTATAGATAGATCTAAATCCAATGAAATTAATTATTTATATTGTTAAGTTCAATTTTTGAGTGTGTGAGTGGATTAGATACGCACTAAAGTCATACGGAACCCTAGAACAAAGTTGAGTTCAAAGTGACATTAGCGATTGGGTTTCAATATAAATTTTTACTTGGTTCAACATCAAACGAAAACCTCTCCTATTAAGAGTTATGTATTCACAAACCTATCAAATACAAGGTCTTCCAGTTTTCTTTCCAACACCACCGACTATTCATTAATCTGAGTCTAAAGAAGAAAGTTGTAAGTGTTTAGCAAAAAGTGTGAATGTTGAAAACTTATTTCACCATAGCAATGAGTGGTTTGCCTTAGCCAAGTTTGCATTGCGAATAGCGAATCAGGGTCGCTATGCCAAAGTGTGGGCAGTGTTTAACTATGTTTTGATGGATCTTATGTCATAAACTGCAAAACCTCATTCAAATCTCTAGAGAGGTGATTAATTTAAGGCTCTCATGAAAATTTTTCACTGACGTAAGTTTCTCCATCAACTTCCCTTGAAATTAATAAATATGAGACCTTTATCATAAAAGTTAGTTAGTTAAGAGGGATATAGATGGAGTAGAAACTTCATTAATTTAGATGAAAAGGCACTTTCTTCAATTCAACTAAGTCTTTCCAAAGAGGTTCTTAAGGAGGTTATTCGTGAGACTACTGCTGCAAGTCTTTGGTTGAAACTTGAGTCTCTCTATATGACCAAAAGTCTTGCCAATAAACTCCGTCTCAAAAAGCTTTTATACACGCTTCGTATGTTTGAAAGTTCATCCATTCAATTTGATATTGATGTATTCAATTCAATTATAATAGATCTGGAAAATTTAGAAGTTAAAATTGAGGATGAGGACAAGGATGTGTTGTTAATTGTCTCTGTTCCATCTACCCATAATCATTTCAAGGAGAATATGTTATACAGAAATAATGAAACTTTGTCCTATGAAGATGTTAAATCAAATTTGTTGTCCAAAGAAAAATTGGATCTTGACGTTCATTTTGAGGATGAAGGCTAGCGCTTGTTCGTTATAGGTAGATCACAAGATAAAGGGAGTACATCTAAAAAAAATTCCGATCTACATACAAAGGGCATAATTTCAGCCAGACATGTCGCTACTGCAAGAAACCTGGGCATGATATTTCTAACTGCTTTAAACTAAAAAATAAAAAGGAGGGAAGAAAATAACAAAAAGATGAAGAAAGTTGCTGAAGCCAGAGTTGTTGAAAGTGATTCTGAAGGTGATGTTTTGTTGGCTGTCTCTGATGATAAAAGAAACTCATCTGAATGGGTTTTTGATACTGGATTTACATATCATATGTGCTCTCATAAGGACTGGTTTGTAACATATAATAAAGTTGAATGTGGTGTTCTCCTAGGGAAATGATTTCAATGCAAAGTTGTTGCAATTGGACTTTACAAATTAAAACTCATGATGGTGTTATGAGGACCTTGACTAACGTTCGTCATATTCCTGACGTAAAACACAACTTGATTTTAGTTGGTACTCTTGAATCTCCTTGATGT